AGGATGACCCCTTTCAGAACGCAGTGTGCTTTAATTGGTTAATAGCATCATTTTCATTATAAATTAGCATTTATCCGTATTCCAATTAAACTAAGAGAATCATAAATTCATAATACGGGGTGTCTGGAAATGCTTATACAAACCAGAAAACTGTAGGCTGTAGTGTTCTTCAACATTTACGAATGGGACCGTAAGTGATATTATTGTGCTCACGGTACATTTGAAGCCCTCCAAATTAGTTTTCCACTTTGTTGTGGAACTGTAGTGACATCTCATGGACACATAAGCAGTTTTTCATGTGTTTTGGATTTTTATTAAAGGATTTTTTTTGCATTTCTGCACTGGGGTATAAAGTGTTGTTGAGGTGCTAAGTAAAATGATACAGCTAATGAGACAAATGTCTTCTTTGATTTTCTTTAATTTAATCCTGACTAAAGTGTTATACATTTTTCTTTCCACTGTTTTTATTTTTATGAACTACTAGATTCCATCATTTGTACTCAACAAAACATATACCTGTCCATGAATAGCATATATGAAAGCTGATTAGACATTGAGCCTTTTCTTTGTTCTAGCATTGCTGAACTACACTACACCATGTTGGTTAGTGGACCTTTCTAGATTTTCAGAAAGCATGTGAAATGCTGGTAAATCAGGAATGCATAGCTTAAATGCTGTAGGGTCACAGGTCCTCTTCCATTATTTATTCGGTCTAAGCTCTTGACTACATACCTGAACTGATTATTGAATCAGACCAGTTTGTTTTGTTATGTGCCCTGAAATTAGCAGCAATTATTTTGAGGTTCTACTTTCCTGCAATTACTCCTGTCCTGTATAAGCCCTGGAGATGCAAAAATATGTATGAATCAAGCTGGGCTGTGGCCTTCACAGTGTTATGCACCCCTGCTGTTGGATAAAAAAGCATAAACACTCTCTTTAATCAGTGGAGTTCTATATTTATCCTTAATAGCGTGCTGGGTTTTTAGGACTCTCCTCACATAGGGGAAATTTAATGACTCAGTGTATGGAATTTAAGTAGTTAGGCCCATAGAGAAAAAAAATCATCAATAGACTTCTTAGTTTACTTTTTACTATGCAGGGTAGACAGCCCCCAGGAAGCACCATTTTATGAAGCAGGTTAAGGTCAGATGGAACAGTTTTATTTTTGCAAATTAGGCATTAAGCATATAACAGAAAAATGATCTCACAAACTAGTTCAATTAAGGTCAGTTAGTTTAGCATTTAAAAGGTGAGTTGCAACACAAACACTGCTCCAGATTCAGTCAAAGCTTTTGTTTATCATTCCCTAATCTCAAAATCCACACTGTCAAATCAAGAGTTTTCACAATCTGAGTTTAGCAAAGTATACAGACTTCACCTTACTTAGTTTCTGACGTATTTCATAATTACTTTTTCTTTCCAGATCATATCGCCAGCCATCGAATGCAGAGGAAAGAAAGACGAGTGCGATTTGGCGGAATACTGCACAGGCAAATCTCAGTGGTGCCCAGAGGATGTGTTCACTGTCAATGGGGTGCCGTGCAAGGGAGGTCAAGGGTACTGTTACAACGGGCAGTGCCCACTGTTCTTAGACCAGTGTCAGAGGGTCTGGGGGACAGGTATGCATCAGCTATTTGTTTGGGTGATCCCTGCCTGACACACCGCATCAATGTACATATAGTACTGTAGTTTTACCAAAGCTGAATGATGCAGCACCTGAACTTCCTGTACGTCTTTCCACTGCTGAGTTAGAATCCCTGCCTGTACTGTCATATGCAGAACAGGACATGCACACACTTGTACCTTCCGTGTTTTCTGAAACCGACACTTTGCAAAATATGATTTTTTTTTACTGCCTGCACACAAGCCAATATGGCTTTAATTAGTTTAATGCCTTCATGCCTTCACCCTGCTCAACTACGCACTGGAACCAGATATGACATGGGAAAGGATCTCTAAAGGATTTTAACACATGAGACAGGAATCACTGTCCATTGTCCCAGACAGCTCTTGTCTCCATTTTGTTTTCCTTCCAGCCTTTTTCCTTTGCAATGACGTTTATTGGAAAAATACAAGTAATTAGCTCTTGTGACTTGATTACAGTAACTGGTACAGATGTTGTCTCAAAGGTTATTGCTCTAGGTGGCTAGAGATGGTTTAAGAGATGAAATCCAGTAAAAAAAAAAAACAACAGTCAGGACAATTATTCCAAGTAAGAGTTTACATGAGCAAATGAGAGATCAGAAGGAATGAAAACAAAAACATAACAGTGTAGGACTAAATGTGGTGCTTCTTAGGACTGATGGTAGCTCACGTGGTGAGTTCATGCATTTCTCCTTCAGGTGCAAAAGTGGGGAGCGACTTCTGCTACAACCAGAATGTACGTGGGGTGAGCTATGGGTACTGCAAACGCATCTCTGGAAGCTATGTGGGATGCCAGAACAAGTAAGGAAAAATTCAAATAGCTATTGAATGGGCACCCACACTTGGATTTCAGTTCCACGTCTGCTTTTGTATTCCTTGTCACTTGTGCAAGGTCATAATTTGCAATTACAGTATTTATATGAAAATTTACATTTATCCAGAGAGGATAACACAGATTGCTGCCACTGGCACAGAACACACAGAAAATGAAGTTTCAGTTCTTCCCTGCATTGTCAGTGAAAGAGTGCAGAGCTGTATTTTGGAAATTACCCATCATGAGATGAAAGGAAATGAAAAGGGAAGGTCGCACTAGGTTCTGTGCCATGTTCTCTTAATTGTAAAGCACTTGACTGTAGTTCTTTAGTCTTTAACATGTGGCATTTAGTTCCTGAAATACTGGCTTTAGAGGACTCTAAGAGAAGGTGCTTTTCAATTCTATTCATGGTGTGAATTTATAATAAAATTGACCCCATAGTCAGACTTGGCTTTAATGCGATTTCATCTAGTGAATTCTTGTATTTATTAGGTCTAAGGCATAAAGTTAGTTGAGGTGAGGGAAAAGACAGACCAGAGAGATGTGTATATATATAGTGACATTCTTAAACTTCTAAGACAGAATTCAATTGTCTCTGGCGGTATTCATTTCATAAGACTGTATAATAAGGCATCACACTCTCAGCTAGCTGTTGAGCCAGGTGCCGAACATTAAGTGAATGATGAGGTGTTTTAGTTTTTCTTCCTTTTCTGTGTTTCTCTTTAAAAACACATTTCAGGGATGTGAAATGTGGCAAGCTGTTTTGTACCGATGGCAATGGAGATCCCACAATAGGACGTCTGGTGCAGTTCGTAAACTGTAAAGGAACCCTTTTCGGAGATAATGAAGAGGATATGGGGCAGGTGGCAACAGGCACCAAGTGTGGAAATGGACTGGTAGGACTGGTCTGGGGTATTTATATAAACACCACTTCTGAAGTATATGTACAGCTCAATTTCAGATACCTTCTCAATTGTGTAGACATTTGTTATTCGTTTATTTAGCAGACATACCTATCCAAGATGGCTTGAACATTATCTGAATTTTCTTTATTAAATTAATTGCAAGGGGCAATTGAACAATTACAGTAAGTTAAATAAACTTAATCAAGCCTAGCTGGATGAGTTACAGAAATGAAGAGATATAGATATAGAAGCATAGAAGAGTCAGTGGAGTAGAATATATAATGAATCTGTAATACTAAAATGTATACTGTTTTGTGTGAACTGGCCTCATGCTATTATTTAAGTGTCTGTGTTGTGGTGTGTCCTCCCCAACATTATGTCAGGCATGGTATTAATATCAAGAGATTAAGGGCCCTAGAATGATTTTCAGTTCAGATTTGTATCCAGTTTTTCTGTGGTACAAATGGGCTCTATATTTTTGGTGTGATATGGAAAGTTTCAGACTGGACAAATTCATTGTAGTTTTGCTTCTTAAGTTTTCAGTTTATTGACATTTGAAACCCATAAGCTCTGTATTATTAAGCTTTGCATTTTTGTATCTGATTTCTGGCACTGAGAGCCTATGATTAAAATATCACGAGTGAAACCTGCCAGGAACTCATCAGAAGGTCATGGGGTGTCCATTTGTTACATTCTGTGCACTTCTTTCAAAACCTTTTACACAGAACAATGGGGTTACCAATGCCTGTCTGTAAACTCTTATCCACTTTACTTGCTCTTTTCAGGTCTGCAGCAATAATGAATGTTTGGATGTTGAAAGTGTCTACAAATCTGCCAACTGCTCGGCCAAGTGTCGAGGCCATGGGGTAAGCAGAGAGGATGACAATGAATGTCGGGCACTTCAAACACTCGTTATTTTGCATCTGATAGCTCCTCATTTTCATGCTTAAAAAATAGTTATTGACATGCTTTTCCAAAGTAGGGTTGGATTTTTTGTGGGACAGAGAAAATATTTTCTCATAATTTTACAAAACCTTTCCTGCATCGTTTAGTGACAAATCTCCAAGGCAATTAAGGATACTTTCTAATGAAGTAGTTTTTGCAGGGATTGATCCTGTAGAGCAGAGCTACAGTACAGTAGTTTCTCCCTAACTCTGAAATCACCAGTTTCTAAAACTAAGATGGTTTTCATGTTGACCGCATCAGCAAATTGTTGGTTTAGTTACATTGTTTAGACGTCATTTAGCGATCAGTCTATGAACTGAATGTACTTTGCTGCTCTGAATTATTTCCATGTGTTAAGGTCTGTGAAACTATGTATTCTGCAGGTGTGCAATCACAGACTGGAATGCCAGTGCGAACCAGGCTGGCTGCCTCCTAACTGTGACAAAACTAGTGATGATAACAGGCTGTCCACAGGTAGGTACCATGTGACTGTCAGTGCACCTGCGACCACACACATCTTAAGAAAACTACCAGTCTTGACTGTGATGTCTATCATAAAAAAGATTTTTAGCTGTTTTCTGTACTTAAAGGGTTCATCTTTTGCTTGGGTCTGGTTGAAATCAAGCCTTTGAGCCCAGCCATCAATCACAAACTGCAGCTTTGTTGCCAGATGGCAGCTTTCTGTTGGGTAGAGGCTACGTTTGTCTACTTAATGAAAAGCCAGAATCTAAGTGCTATAATTAAAATGTTGTGGTTCGTTGGTGGGTCAGTTGCGATTTCATCCCGACCTTCATAGAACACAATCTGTACAATAATCCATAAACTGTGAATATGATCTGAATCCCATTCCTGTAATTGATGCAGAAGGGATATATGGAGCTGGAAGTGTAATATTACCATCTAGATTCCAGCTGACTGACTGGTCTCTTACAGTTAAACTTCTCAATGCTTTAATATTCTACAAGCACTGTGAAATCTTGCTTACCAGTGCAATGTAATTATAATAAAATACCACATAAATCAGTAGCATGACATCATATTCTGTGCTATCTTATATTACAATAAGATCTTTAGGTCAACAATAGTCTTCCAATGTATGTATTTTATAAATCAGTATTATCTCATTTTGTCCAGTGAATTAGTACTTTAAATGTTAATCAGGAGATTTGAGGAACAATTGAAGTAAAGTGTTGTTGCAGTTATAATTGTATCCAGAATCAAACTGTAAATCAAAATTTACTGAAAATGTGTTGGAACAGTCATCCCCAAATTCAACCACATCCCAATTTCAGACCTTTTCGCATACGGTATGCCTCATGGTAAGTAAGCGATCAATCCTGTACTTTGTAGCCACTCGCAATCAATTTTAAGTTGATCACTCCAGCATGCTGATTAATGAGATTACTTCTTAATACTATAATGTCGATTACTGTACTTAATTTCTAAGGAGAAGGTCAGTGGCAACTCAGTCAAGAGATTTCAGGTTTGCTGTGGAAAAGTATCACAACATTCCGGCCTTCTTCTCAGAAATGTTTCTTAGCACATTAGTTGTTTCTCTTTAAACGTTTGTTGACACCCTTTCTGTCTTTTAATATTCTCCCCCTATATAATACTGTTATAGAATTCACCATCCTGCAGTTCTTATTTCAGCCTGATTTACATGTGTATCCTGCTATTTACAGTATTAAAACATAATTTTGAGTAGGTATCTGCGTCAGCGTGCGTAGGCTGCAAAGGAACAGATGAAGGTTTATTCCCTGGTTATAGGAAAAGTAAAGAAGCACATTGTTTCAGCCGTGGAACCTTTTGCAAGTGTCACCTTTACCTGTTCCTTTGCATAAAAACATAAAGAGTTTCAAATTTCTATTTTATTACTCCGGTCCATTACTGGTTTTAGAGTACAAATGCAACAAATGCTATTGGTTCCAATATGACGCTCGGTGTACAGTGTTTTTACACTGTGTCTCACAACTTCATAACAATCTCTTGATTCACATTATTTTTCTGCGATCATGCTATACTGTATATTGAACTTTGTTCTGGTATTTATTCCCGCATACACTACTGATTTTATTAATCGTAAAAAGACTGTAGCTACTTTGACTGTCTTAGAAGCTTGATCAGTGTAATGTTTTACAACATGATGCTAGAATTTATTTTTTATTATAACCAGCACACTTTCTGAAAGATTGGCCTGCTTTTTAAAAGACTTTTGGGAAGTGAATAATTATCATTAACCCACAGATTTTTAGCCTAGGGCTGTTGAATCCCTGTTGTTTACTTATTGTTGTAAACCCACAGCACAGTAATTCTTTGCAAACATTCTTTAGTTTTCTTTGTTAAATAAGATGTAGGGACATTCATTGCATACACATCATGTGCCTTGAGAGGCTATCCAATAGTTTGCAATTGGACATCTTGGTTTCAATTTCAATATATAAAACACTTGTGTAAACTCTTGTTATTTCAGAACAACTATACTGTACCTGTAGTGAAGTGTGAAAGTTAGGAATTGGGTCTTATGGGTTCACGTTGCATGTATCTGCATGTCACTGGGTTCAATGTATGTGCATGTAGTAGAATGTAGTGTATTTGTGTCGGGTAAGAATCGTCACTGAACTGTTTCAGATGTTACAAAAGTAGAATTGTATTTCTATACTTGTAAAGACCACCCATGAACACTCAGGTCTTTATTTGCTCTTCTCCGCTGAATTGAAATTCCACATATGATTAAAGTAAATCTGAGTCAAATATTTTTGGCATGATCATTGGCTCACTGATCTTTACAATACCTGTATCTCAGGAGTTGCTGTCCTTATAAGGACATTTTTTTGGGTCTCCAAGTATAGTAATACCTGTACACACAGCAAAGAATAACCTATTCTCCGATGTCTCCGTTGGTCTTAGTTCCCATCTGTTCCTCTGTAGTCCTTGTTCCATGTTCTTTTGAGACATATTGAAAATTTTTCTATTACAGTTAAGATGTTAAATATGAGTGTGTGTGAGAGAGAGAGGGAGTGCAGTGATTGCATAGCTCTGAAAAATAGTCCTTCACACACCTCCAGAAGAAATACAATTGTGCTGACTCGTTGTTTTTTATGAGTGCACGACTTTTCAAGATCATGGGTTTAACTCAAAACCTAAAGGACTTGGCTTATGACTCTGTGTTCTGGATGGAGGTGGCTGGTGTAGTTGATGAGTAAAATAATGTCTGAGGACCTTAAGGCCTGCAACTCCCGAGCCTGCGCTGCTGTCACAGCAGAGCTGCCTTCTGAAACCAGGAAACAGCCTGGCAGAGGTGAGGCCTCTTGTCTCTGTGGTTTTCCTCCTCTTTCTGCATCACTACCAAATGGAAAGAGAACTGAAGAACAGTGGAAAGGTTCGAAAGAAAATAGAGCAAGGCCAAAGGAGCTGAGGTTTGCCAAGCTTCCTGGCTGAATACTGTCTTGTGCTCTTTCATGTACAGTACATTGTCTGCTCCATGCTCAGATAGGTATAGCAGAAAGACAAGTGTTCCGATTTTAAGCCTTTCTTCCGGTTCCTCAGGAATTAGTAAAAGTTATTTTTCAAACGTTTTATTGCTGCAGCCCAAATAAATTGAATAATAATAATTGAAATTAAAATTAAAGGAGTTAGTTAAGTTAAGGAGCACACTGTTTGCTCTCATTAAAATGCCATGTACTGAGAGATGCATTTTAAGATTAAGTACATACATTGTGTCAAGAATTCATACATGTTGCTACTGAAAAACATTTTTGCACTGGTCCACTTTCAGACAATGCAGACCAGAACAGAAGAGAGATGTGCATAATTTACAGGGCCTTTTACTACAGAGTTAAATGTGCTTTCATTTTTCCTGATCCAGCAAGACTGCAGTATATTTGGCAAAAATCTGTCTGCTGGGGGGTGAAATAATCGTTACTTAATACATTCTCCATTGTCTATTTACAAACATTGTCACTTTCCGATTATACAATATTAACAAGACGGGGGTCAGATTTCAATAAGGCAAGGCTTTGTATAGAAAAACAAGTTTAAAAAAAAGATTCATTTCCCACGAGATTTCACTTTCGTAAAAAAAAACATCCTCACAGCAGCCTTTTTTACCTAAATGGTGAATAATGATTGCAAATAAAATACCTAGGTTATTGACATCTAGACTGTTCCCTCAAAACACTGACAATATCCAATGCTGGCAAACAGCCTTAAATATTAAATGATGTCATACGATTTCCAGTCACATAGTTTGTCTTCTAATAAAAGGACACAGTTGCATTGAGTTTGATAAGTGCAAATGTAAGATGATTACTGCATATAAGTCAGAATATGCATTATTCCAGGTAGAGGTTTAAAAAGTCTTCTTCCCTCCCACTTACTGTTTCTAGTCCATTCATTTTAATAATAATCATGATAATAATAACTACTTGCATTTATAAAGCGATTTTAATCCCAAAGAATTTTCTTGTCTTGACTTAGAGTGCTAACTGACTTTCTCCTCCCCTGCAGGGGTCATCATTGCTATTGTGGTAATCATCTGCGTCATAGTCCTGATTGTCATAGTTGCAGTCATTCTCCTCTTCATGCGCAAACATAAGAGGGCACGTCAACTCAGGTATGTAAATTCTATCATGGCAACGAACAATTATTGAAATTCTAGCTTACAGGAAAGCATGGCTGTAGGTGGAATTTGAGTGGAATAATCTTGATGTGTAGTGATGGTGTTGAGCTGGACCAGCTTTGCCATTTCTGTACGTATCTACAATACAGAGCACATAGCCTGTGTTGAAGTTGTCTCCAATTGCAGCTGAAATTTTTAGATTTGTTCCTTCTGTTTCTGTTTATTTAATAGTGAAATACAAAGCTGGAGAATAATACACACTTAAAATATATGCAGGATTTTTGGTTGCACAGCCCATACAGTATGTTATGAAAGATTATGATAACAAAGATGTACTAGAATTTGATTTTTTTTGCATTTCTGCCAGCATACTGTATTTGTAGCCATTATACCAAAGTCTGCTTTCCCTCGTGAATGACAGTAGTACATGAATGTGTTCATGCTATATGTTTGGGGAGCTTCTACTTTAACAGTTGGCAGAGGTAACAATTCTGCCTTGAGCTCAGCGTCTGTGAGGTGACAGCATGGACGTACAGTATAGTCAAAATATCTCTTGCACTGAAAGCAGGAGCCTGTGAAGTCCAACACCCACAAGCATGACCTTATTTTATCGTGTGTCCTCAGAGCTCCATCTTATCAGAAGGCCCCTGGAGTGACGAATCCAAATTTCTCTGCACAGCGGTTAGAGGTGACCTCTGACCTCCATAACAATAGCCCGGTACGAAAGGATTTAAGATGCAAAATATTCGCACACACAAAAGTTATTTGCTTTTTCCTTAGTCTCTGCCTAGCTTTCAGAACTTCTGAATTTGATTTATTGGTTGTGTGCCACATGCAGTATTTTTGTAACAATTTTCAGAAAATATCCGAAAACACTTGCGCAGCCAAGAGCAGTTTAAAGACATTTTAAGTTTTTAAGATTTAACTTTTGTAGACTTCATTTCTGAGAGACAATACAATTCATTTCTTAGGTGGGACATAAACAATTTAAGAAGTATGTTTTAACTCCTAGACACCTTTGGTATGAGCTTTCTAGCTTTTATGTGGTGTTAAAATATATAGAATATAAAAACAGTTAGAAATGACGTATAGTATTTTTTTCAAAAGCAGGCCATGAAAATGGAAAAATGTCATCGATTTGAAAGCATGGAAGTGACGTCACTTTTGTGTCATTGCTTAGAATCCTAAGAGAGCAGCACCTCCACCTCCCCCAGTTGCCATCAAGCCAGCAACTGTGCCTTCTGCCCCCCCGGCGGCATTCAACCACCCCAAAGCCACACCTCCCCCTGTGCCAGCCTACAGCAAAAGGCCTACAGCCCCTCCTCCTCCTTGCCCCTCTTTGCCTGCTCAAGTGAGTATGACAACAGAGAAATCGTAAGCAGGTGTGCAGTGAAGGGAAAAGAGGTGACCTTCTGTCCAAGGAAATGGAGGCAAACTGCATAGGAAGAGGAAAGATCCCTGATTCTTTCATTGACTGGAAGCTCAGTTTTAATATCAATATCACGTGTAAATGTGACAGAATGTAAATATAAGGGCTTAAGTAATGGAAAATATTTTTTTTAGAAAGATTATTCTTTTGTTGGCGTGAGTTCCAGAACAAATTCAGTAAACCAATAAACTACCATTCACAAAGAAACTAGCTATAATGCTCTAAATACCTTGCTGAAAGATTGTTTTTCTGACTTGAAAATAATCAATTGAATAGGGATGTGAACACTTTTTTAAGATTGTGATTCTCACTTTCAGATCTTTTGAGTTTTTCTTCCTCGTATGTATGTTGTGGGAGGATAGCTTGTGCCGCTGCTCCTTTAGAGGGATGTGAAATCTTAAATTCCTGGCAGCAGTAGGATGGGCAGCTAATATATGCTGATGAAATGATTAAGTAGGATAGCTAATAGGCTGTAATTTTAGGAAAAGAAACGATTGTGTCAAAATGTTAACTTATTGTATTATGTTAATATGTGTGTTTAGCTTCTAACGAGAGTGTGAGGGATTTTAAGAACACCGATTTGGCATGAATTATGTACAGCTATCTGCACTATACATTCATACTAATAAATGAACAACAATCATTATACCCCTAATAGCTATCAGTCAACACAAGTAAGGACACAAGTGGAAAACTGAGAACAGGATTGTGGAACAATTGAACAAGCTATCCAGTCATGATGCTAAAGACAGCATCCTGGCATCTTTTACTAAACAATTGCTGGGATTCTTCGATCAATCAGATACTAATTATCAAACTGGCAGAATGCCCTCCTCTCATCGCCTATATTATGTTCTTACAGACTTTTCAGATTTAATACTAGTAATACAGGACAGGGAGTAACAAGGAGCATTGCCTGCTGCAGTAATGGGACTATGCTTGTGTTTCCAGGTGGCCAGACCCCCTCCTCCTCCTGTGCCTACTGCTAAACCAGGACTTTCCCCTGCTGATCTCCGAGCAGTGAGTATCCCCAGGATTACAGAAAGCATCCTGTTCCGGCTGGACCAGAAAACAGCACTTTAGTTGTTCTTGACAGCAAAGATCAGATTCATGCCTAAGAGAGACGCATGCAACCAGAGTTGTCACATTTACGAGATTTACAAGCCAAGTTGGCAAACCCTTCGTGTCTGTCCCATCATGAGTGTGTGAGTCTCGTGGTTAGATGCATAGATGTTCCTTGCAAAGCAGGTTACTTTCGGTGGGATTTTGAAAAGCGTATTCCTGTTTTTAAATGCAGTGTTTCATTAGCAACATTAACAATGGACAGAGAAAACTGTTAAACACTTTATGACCTTACTTGATGTTGAAAGAGGATGAACCAAAATAGCCGTTTTATTCCTGAAATACCTTTAAAATTGCATTAAATGACAGCATCCTTAAATATTCAAGGATGTTTCTATTCTCCATTGTAATGTAAGTATCATTGTTGTAATTATTATAATGCCTTCAGAGAACTAAATATTTTGCGAGTGAGAAGAAAAAAAACTTTATTTAGATAAAACATTATTGCATTTTTAGTTCTTTAAAATGCTATTGAGACCAATGTTTTTCATCTATGTGTGCGGCCCTCTCCTCATATACCACCATGTCCTGGACAAGATTTGAAATGACAAAATAACATGGTATCATTACATGGTAGCAATTTTACAGTGACAACTGTACAGTATGTTGGATATATACGACGGAGAGCTGTATATTCATAACTGCATGATTCCCTGTGGTAAAAAATGTGAAATGTGCATATTTGAGACCTCTCAATTTGCTCCTGTTTTTCATTCTTCTTTTCAGGCTCTTAAACCTGTACAAAACCCACGAGTATGAGCACTCCCAACACAGCAAAGAGAACGACTGAATCTTTGGCTCCCTATTGTTGCACCCTGAATCACTCCCTGTAGACTGGTCTTGGGGCATCCTGGCTTCCTACTCCTGGAGAGACAGATCTCAGATGTATCTCTATGGGAGTCCCAGTTGGCAGGCTTCCTTCACTGCCTTAAGTTCACTGAATCCATGTGCAATTTAATATAAAAACTTGGTGGTTTTAGGGTCCTTCACTATTTTAGGCTAGAAGAGGTCACAGAATTTGATTTTTATTATGACATCACATTTCACATTATATTTATTTTCTTCTTTGCCCTAGTTCCATTTATATTGTTTAAGGGACTGTTCAATGTGAGATGTGTAGTATAATGAGACCACTTAAAATTATTTAGTATTTAGATTTTATCCCACAAAAATGTATGCAGAATAACTGTAAAAAGAAAAAAGGACAAGCAGTTTTCTTTGATATAAGATTTTAAATGTTTGTCTAACTTACCTGGTCAGGGGTTTTTAACTTTGAAAGCGCTCGTGCAATTATTCAAATGAATTATTTTTGTCCAGAGCAAAATAGTAAATTAAAACATTTGAGTCAACACAAAATAGATTGTACTTACAAGTATGTTTTTTTCTGAAAGGATTTAGATCACATTTCTAAAATATTTCCAACTTTTTTTGGTGTTTTTGGGGAACCAAGGTGGTAGAGAAGTTAGCTTGGAGTACAGTCTGGGACCTGTAGTCCTGATCTTCCTGAATTGAGGCTGCCATTAACTGACTATGCTTTGTATTTTCCACTATTGGTGGATACAGGGCTTGCATCAGCCAATGTTTCCTCTGCAAAATAGTGACTTCAGAGGCCTGTTGATAGCTTGAGAGCTTGCATTACGAGACGTACATAAATCTCAGGTAAAAGCACAATGAAGTGTCTAGTATCCAAAGACTTAAGACAGGTGGGCATGCTGGAGGAGTTTACACAGAGTCCCCTTTTTCCTTTGAGCAGTACAAGAGAGCAAGCTAAGTTGATTAACCATTGACAATTCCAAGCTTTAATTAAAAAAACATCAAATCTGATTTATTACTACCAGAGACAATGGATGACCAAATACAAAAAAAGTAGCTAACTGACCAGAATCTTCTGTTTTTAAGAAACCTGTGGAATGAAATAGATCTAAAAGTTCTCGAGCCTCCATTTATTTTTTCGGTAAAAGGGAGCACAAATTATCAGAAAACTTCTTTAAAGTTTCTAAATCTTATCTACTTCTCCAGTTGCCACTTCCCAGTCAAACAGAATTTTACTTAGAATACATGACGTCTGTAGTAAAACTGCTGTGGTGTAACCCTTCGAGGTCAGACTGCTTGTAGGCAAGATATGAAGTTTTCTGTATTTTTACACTAAGGCAATCTTCAGATATAAGGTGAAGATATCTGAAGATATGTACATATTTGCTTGTTCATACTGAAGAAAAGAATGCAAAGATTTTGAATATTTTGAATTCACACATCTAAAACACTGTGTGCATGTTGTAATAATCCTTTATTTAACCAGATAAGACAATAGAAAACAAATTCTAACAGCAATGACTTGTACCTGTTTATAAAGCTAGCCATTTTACTGGAGCACTCTGAGTAAAGTAACCCGGTTTACCTGGTAACTTATACCACTCACGATTTAAGCCCACAACCTTCGAGATACAGGTTCAGAGACCTAAATTCAACTCCATATTACTGTCTTAATCCTGGAGTGGTTACACATTAAATTAACTAGGTTGCGGTTTTGACTGGATTTATAATACTTTTAAAGTGAGCATATATTATTAGTTTTAAAATGGGTTGTTTTCTCCAAGATTGAATTGGACATATTCTGATTTCCAGTATGAAGAGACAGTTAAATGCTTTCAAGGTTGAAAACCTTTTTTTAAAACCATGAACAGATTTTGTTATTTAAAACATATTTTTTATGTTGTTTAATTTAATAAAATACACTTCATCAAGCCAATTAACATTTACCCTTTAACATGGTTTTTGTTCAACACTGTTATTGTCCTACAGCAGTGGAAGTCACCAGAATTCACATACATTTTTTTCTGTTTTTTGTAAGTTCATAATATATAAAATGGTGTATAGCAACTTCAGTAACTTGGTTTTGGTATTTAGAAACAAAAACCATAGGCACATAAATGAATTTTTAGCTGACACTTGTACATTTTATTGTTAAAAAAAATTCAACTATAATAAAGAATCTTTTTCAAAAGCCCTGTCTTGTAATTATTGGACGGTAAGTTAAATGCAATCTCAGGCATGATCCCTGCGTGCATCCTGTACAGTAACAGTCAGGTTCCCCTGATTGAACTGTAGGACAGGCTTCAGTATATCAGGTCAGTAATAGTAATTTCAGAATTGGGCAACAATTGGGTTTGATTGTATACTGTCGCATGCTGTGCAGATTGTGCTCATTCCCCTTGGGTAGATAGGATTTATCCAAGTTCTATCTTCCACCTCCCAACACTGTGCTGGCTGGGTTAGTTAATATCTCTACTATTGTTCCAGTTCTCATTTTTGTGTCCGCTATGGTATGTTACAGTATGTATCTGTCAAGTTAATCCATCCAGTGTTTAATTCTGCCTTGTGCCCTATGCAAATTAATCCGCCCAGTGTTTAATTCTGCCTTGTGCCCTATTCTTTTGGGATCTGTGCTGACCATGACCAGGATCATTCCTTCTTAAATCATTCACAAATGACTCACCCCATTTGATTTTAACAAATATTTTCAATTAACATTTGCCCATGGGAGAAATAGTCAGACTTTGCATACTGAGCTTAAATGATCACCCATTCATAAGGCAGAGGTGTTCAAAGTTGACAGTCTGGACACGAAACAATGGGTGATTTACTGTATATCATTTTAAAGCTCCGAAATTGGTCTGTCAAACTATTTGATAATTGCTGTGAAAAAAAAATGAGGTCATTTTGACTTTAGACCTCAATGATTTCAAAAACTTTTCTCATTTTTTTATGTTTATTGCAGTTTAAGTCCTTGTTTAGAGCTGCTGATATTTATGCATTGCACCATTGATTATGACACAGCATACCTACATTTTGAAAATATATGCTATGTTTCCCTCAAGCTTTTGCCAATTATTGCTGTTATAATACAATAAGTTTTCCTTCACAATTGTGGATTGTTGCCAAGTAAATCTAATGAAACAGGTTTTCTGAGTTAAAATGCAGAAATGTGACCCGCCAGCTGCTCATAGATAAATATAAACTGGAATTGTCACCCAGCACAATTAGTAAAAAGAGATGGTGGTAAACCACAATAGCAGTCTGCTAAGTGTGACTATGATGCACAAAATACAGTAATGCAATGCGGAAGTTGAAGAAATCATTATTTCAACACAGCTGAAAAATATTTTTTTTATGTTCTCTATAAATGAAGTAGGTTCTTTAGGTAGTGCCAAAACTGCATTCCTCAATTTGTTGAGAACATGGATGAACATTTCTTTACTGCCCAGTTGTACTTTGCCTGTGCTTTTTGTCTACTAGACTCACAAGCATAGATTAGCAGGTATGATGAGGAGCAGTTTCTACACAACAGCTCGACTATGATGACCCACTCTGGGGGGTTTTCGGTGGACTGTTTTTGATTAAATTGGCTGCTCATACTCCAGTTTTGTAATTTGCAGTAAATTGGTCTTTAGTTGCTCGCATGTTTCGCCTCTCACTTTGAATTCATTCAGGGATATCATGCTCTAGGAGTAGGTGCTTTTACCCAGTGTTGCTGTTTGTTGATTACTTCTTTTCCTTGGATTTCCAAACTTACATTGCCTCAGCCACCATTGTTCATGAAACGCCAAGTGTCCCAACAATCAAACGCCCCACTTTCAAATTCACTGAGAACTCCTCTTCCAGCCATGTGAGGTATATACATTATATTATATTATGTATTATATACATCTCCAGCCTTTGTATACATGACCTTACACATTCTGGGATAGTATTTGCTTAATTAGCATGAGCCACACCTGTGTGGAGGCCCTTGCCTTTAAATGTATTTGATGTCCCTTGTTTAGCCAGGTGACTACGTGGACACTGCTGTAACCGGCAGGGACCTGCATCATCAAGCCTTGGCTGCACAGAAACAAGTAAGGTTAATGCCACATGGAAAACATAACATTTTGTGTTTCCTTGAGGTAACCTGAAGAATGCTTAACAGTCAAAATGTGTTTTTCCTTTCAATTAACCATAATTGATCCACCAGTAGTTAACAATAAGTAATATTTATGGAAAAATTAAACTGTTTATTGTTATTAAACTTTCATGCAGTTGTTGTGGATGCTACTCTCAGCTCTTGTTGCATTGTAACCGTCCACAATTATATTTGTGAGTTGTTACAGTTTACTTGTGTATCATTTTTCATAGCTTTCCAGCCATAAGACAGAAACCATATTGGTTTTTAAGCATGAAGATGTTTGTTTCACCTTGGTTGTGTTAATTTATCATCTAACTGTATTGAAAATCGCAACTCAAAACTAAAAAAAAAAGTGTAATTACATACCATAAAAACAACCCCAAAGCATTCTTGCCTTAATGGATTGAACTATAACCGGGAACGTTGTGGGATGTTTCGCTATGTGCAATGAACGTTACTGCAAATGGTTTATTTTAAGTCATAAAATAAAGTTTGAGTTGATTTTAGCTGTGTTCTGAATAGTGTTATTTTTTTCCAGCTCACCTAGGGTATACAATTGAAACTTCATTAAAATATTGTTTTCTGTTTTTTATTTTCTATATTCCAATAATAATAATGTGATATTAGGCATCAATTTTAATATAATGCAATTATTTTTTGACACATGATGCAATTTAGTCTTCATCATAATGTATTGAAGGCCAGCTCAACTGGACAGTTTTAATTGATATACATTATTGTGTATATCAAAAACTAGAGATATGCAAACTAAACTAGACAAACTAAATGAGAGATATGCAATACACTGTAATGGAGGCATGAAAAGCCAATATAGAAGAGATATAAAGACCAATCACTATCCACTTTGCTCCTGGAATTCAAGAACTTTCACATTACATTGCAAAAACAGACATTTTACCATTTTCATGCTGCTGGCGTCAATTTCTGGGCATTCAATGGAACTAGACTGTGAATTTAGCACTGTCAAGTCCTGACCAGTTTATCTCACTGATAACCAATGAGTATAATGTGGAGAAGTATAAAGTAGACAAGAAGCTGGCTTCCTTGGTCAATTATACTTAATAGGGTAGCAAATTCCATGGCAGACTGACATTGGCTTTGTTTGTGATAACTGCAGTATAAAGAAGTCTGTTTTAAAAATGCTCCATGTTTTAATGATGCTGTGGTCTTCAACATTGTCCACATATTCCCCACTTACAGTATATGCAGTTAGTGATGTAAACAAGCTTGACGTTCGTGTTAATGAGCTGTAATTTTTGTAGCACATCAACAAATGGACATTATCAATGCACTGTAGACTTGAAAGTCATTTGTTTACTAAAGTCATCACTCCAGCACAATGCAATTTTTTGGGGGGGGTTTTGTCAGTTTCCTTTTATAACTTCCTTTTTTCATGTTGTACTCTTCACACTTGCAGCTTTAAAGCCACTTCAAGCTCACAGACTTCAGCCGTACAAGGGTGATTTTATCCACTGGCTGCAAAGTGATCAAAATCTTCACAGTAAACCCTGTCTTAACAGATCAACACTAAAGATTGTGATTGTCTTAATCTAGATGAGTGTTTTAACTCAAATTTGACAAAACTGTAAATTGAGTTGATTTAACTCCAGCTTGGCCAGGCCAAGACTCTACTTCAGTCTTAACTGCCTAGTAGCTTAACTTGACTTAAGTTCCAGTTTTAACTGACTCTGTTACAACACTGCAATAATGTGGAAATTACCGAAGCTTTTGTGCTGGAAGTCAGAAGCTAAAGGAGTGGCCTAAGGATAAGACATTGCAATAAAGGCAGGTGTACAAAAGTTCCTGTCTGTCTCTCATCTTAGTAGCTCTGTCTAAACCTCACCATGGAAACAACTCTCATATGGATCTTTACCCTGTTGGTCTCACTTGGTCCTGCTGGTAAGAATATTTTGATCTGAATATTTTCTGAAGCATATTTTAAATGTTCTATCAGTGTTGTCTGACAATTAACTGAATTAACTGTCCTGCTAAAATTGATGATTGTAAGTTATCTAGAAGCCAGTAGTCCCTGGCTTTTAGAATACATATCTAATCTAACATAGAATTTGTGCTTTCCTGATAGCAATATTATGGAAACAAAAGAATGATAATACTAGTACGGGGGCTGCAAATGACATTTGTAAATGCTGCTGAGATACAGCAGCCCTGAGCTGCAACAAACTCTTCATCCTAGATCTGAGACCTGGCTGTTTCCCTCAGTTCTGGAATCAAGTACTAATCACCGGCATTTCAGGATCTGAGTGCCTGAATATTACAATTGCATTTGCTGCTGCAATTGGTGTTGGTTGACTTGTAGATGGTGCTTGTCCCTCTGAAAGAACACAGTTTCCCAAACCATGCTCTAGTCTGGTAGAGCTAGACTGTAGGACACGCTGTTCTTCATATGAGAAGTTTAGCTAAGGTTTTGACTACTTTATTAAAAGTACTGAGGTAGTTTTTGTAAGAGTAGGGGTGTTAAGCTCTGTGTCTTAGCTTAATTCCATTAGAACATAAGAAAGGCTAGAAATGAGACCAGCCCATTCTTACCATCTGTCCTGTTTGGTCGTTCTCAGCTTGTTGATTCGCAATAGTGTGAGCCAGTCTTTTCTTAAAGGGTATCCAGGGTATTAGTTTCCACCACATGGCTGGGTAACTTTTCCATGCTTCCACAACCCTTTGAGTAAAGTAAAATCTCCTATTCTTCTGGCAGCAATACCACTTTCTTTCAGACAGGGACACCAAGACTAAAATATGACTTGAGTTGCCTAGGATTTTGTTTTTTATTGTATTCATTTTTTTCAGAATACCCACACAATATTTTCAGTTTCCCAAACAAAAAGTGAAAGATGTTTTGTTTAAACTGTATGACAAGAAGAGGCTCACTGTTGTTGGTTTAAATTTTTATTTCCTTTTTATATATTTTGGTACTTGCAATACGACTGCTAAATAGCCAACCTGCAGCTCCTTTAGCAAATCACCTGTAATGGCTACATGGACACACAGTTTTCACTGTATTCAGCATAACCACACTACTTGTATATATTGCATACACCATGGACACATAGCAGCTCTACTCATATTGAGTTTTATTCCATTTCTATTACATCTATTATTATGTAACCTTTTTTTTGTAACCTCAATTTTGTGATTTTTGTGTTTTTGTGATTTTTGTGAGCTTGCAGAAAAGACATTTCATTGCCAGCAACTACTGCCGCACGCTGTACTGTTGTGCATTTGATAAATACACTTTGATTTGATTTTGATTTTGATTTGGAATTTCTTATTTTAAAAGAACGCTGAGTGTTGGGGAGGATCTTTAACTCCATAGTTTGAATGAGAGTTTTTAGTCACCAAGATGCACAAAATAACGTGATTTGGATGTTCGTGAAGTTGATAATTGTGCTTTTTTTTTTAACAGAGGTGCTTATGCAATTGCCTTTTATAATTTTGATCAGTGTTTGCAAGTCGGGGTATTTCACAATGTGTTTTTCTCCTTTTGCAAACTCTAATCTTGAGATCAGGGCTTGCAAAAAAAAAAAAGAAAGAAAATTGAAAAATGTTTTTCTCCTTGCACTATAAGCAAACATCACTAGGTCAGACAGAGACAAGTGGTGGCATAACGATAGCAGGCAGACTGGGAAGAAATTCAAGAAAGAGGTGGCTCTGACCTAGAGGCCTTAGGACAATGTGTCCACCAGCATGCACTGCTGTATGTTTTTTTTGTGCCTACGAAAGGCAATACCCTATAAGGTATTGTCACAGCAATGATGTGTTTCAGACATCCCTATTCTCAGGAAATATCACATTCAGTTGCAGGAAGTCTTTTTACGCAAGGGGACAGCTGATTCATCAAAGCAGATGTCACCAGAGGTCTTTCAGTGAGATAGTAAAACTGAGGTCATAATTATTTGTGTTGAATAAAAATCCCATAATCCTATTTTAAACATTGTAGGCGTCATAGATAAAATTCAAATTCAGGCATTTTTTTCTTACCTCAGTTTGTCCCCTCCACCTCAGCTGACTACCTGCATAGCCTTTATGGTTGAAGAGGGCAATGCAAATGTAAGGTTTTGTTAACTGTAACTGATATTTTATGATTGCATTGTCCATAAAGAGGTATGTCTATAGCAAAATATAAAGATATGGCCACACTGTATGTGGTAATCCACATTTAAGGATGCATCACAACTGGGATCTACCTGCTAAACCTTTAAACTCAACTGTGATTTTTGAGTAAGGTTCCAAACGTTTCAGGCAGTACAGGTATATTTCAGATTGGTATGGAAGGTCAGTGTTGGGGCATATAGTCAAAACAACATGCATAATTTAAAACTACACACCTGGAGTGTTGATGAAATGGGATATTTTTATTTTTTACAGTGCAGTATATTGACAGTTTGTAGAAGACAGGAAAAAAAGCCATCTAGAATATTGATGAGGATATGTAATATGTAGTCTTTGCATCCAGACGGACATTTGTTACCTCTTGGTAATTAGTCTCAGAAATATCCAATTAGCCTTGCAGAGACTATTACTATTACTATTCCACTATTGGTTTACACACAAAAAGCATATCTATCTTTTATCTAATAGAGGGTGTCCTCTCTTTTATGTTTATTTGAAAAATTTGCATTATGTATAATTACAGCTTTTGAATGTTTTCCCATAGCTAATAAAAAGTCACTGAAGCTGAAGGGCAGGCTCAGATACTCTTATGTGGCCTACATTTCTAAGAACAACAAGTTAAAGTTTTGGTTATTTCAGGAATACAGACCAACCCTCCAATGGTGTGCTAGTGATTACAGGATTTTCTTCTGATGGAACTGTTCTGTTTGGAAATCAAATTGAAAACTCCAGATCACGGCCCTCTGCCCTCAATGACAATTATGCAGCTCTAGTCCTGGGAAACTTTGACTAAAGTTCCAGTACCTGCAGTATATGCTTCTCCACAGCCTTAGGCATCTAAGGTGACATGTCTTCTGACACTGCTGAGATAATCACATTGCAGGACAAAAAAAAAATCACGTTTTTTGTAGAGTACTGACATTTATATAACTTACTACATTTTAAGAATAAACAACAATATTGTTGTTAACTTTCTTCTTTATGTATCCTTTTAGTCTTCATCTGAGCTCTGTGCTTATTTTCTAGTCAGAATAACTCTGTAGCTCTGTAATTACCAGCTCCTGTTTCTGTGTTTATTTGCATTGGTGCAGTGTTGTTCTTCCACTGGGTGTGGCCTTCTGTTGCAAGCTAGTAGAGTTACCAAATGCCTTCATAATCCTGAGAATCCATGTTTATCCCTGCACTGGTGTTAAAAACGTTATGATGCAGTACTACTGTTTATGCTTTTTGAAAATAAAGCTGGACCCAATGCTGTTACATGCAATACTGTACACTAGGATAAGGTGTAAGACAGAAGGTAACAAATGATAGAATTTTACATTTATATTACTTTTTTGTTTTTCAGATTTGGCATTTTTAATATTGCATGCTTTTTGTAGGCTTTGCTTTCAATCAGAGATCTTGTCTTGTAAATGCAGAAATGAAAGAATGAAACATAAATTCCATGTCCTGCCTTTTTTCTGTTAACCACATGACTATAGTACTATAAAATTCATTTAATATCATTTTAGAAGGAAGAATGGGGTTTGGACTAACTCTCTAGAATAGCTTTCTAAAGAATTAGTCAAAACAAACCTGAAAAACTCTTTCAGAATCACATTACCCACACGAATAAGGAAGTGAAATGTTTTTACCATGTTTGGAATACATAAAGTCTATATTCACAGACTGTTAGACAGGCAGAGAAAGTTACAATATCCTAGTACAAAAACAATCACAAATCAGAATGAATACTTGATGAAATTGTTGGGAGCCTGTTAATCAGGCTTGACTGGAAGTTCAGTCTTGCTCATGCCTTAAAATTAATCTAGTGCAAAGTCATAGTTCAGTGTACAAGCTTGTTATGTTCAGCTGAAAGCACTACTTTTCAATCCGCTGCTGATATCACTAAAGGAAAAACTGCAGGGTACAAAAAGGTATTACATTTTTATACCAGCTGATTTTCAGAATCAGATCTGCCAAATTAAAATACAATGTTCATTCATGTTTCCCGAAATAACTTTCTGCTTCTGACGACAATGAATTTATCAAAGAATGTTTTGCCACAGGGGCTAAGCCTGTGACAGGTTTGACTCTAAACATTTCCATTAAGTATTAAAATAGCCAGCTGTTTCCTGTCTTATTCTTTCACTAGAAATACCCAGCACACTCAAATAAGTTTCAGAGGACGGTGAAAACATTACTTTTTTCAAATTTTCCATTGCTGTCTAAATAAAGCTTCTGATGAACTGGTATTGTAGTGACATGCAAATACCTGCAAATACAAAAGTGTAATCTCAAAAGCATGCATTGCCTCAGGCTAATGTGGAGAGGATGGAGGACTGGAAAAGCTTGCAAATACTTAGCCTGTGTGACTATTAGCTAGCCTGCATCGCAAGCTGCACTATACTGTATGCTTTAGATATTCTCTAATGTTCCCAATATTGACATAAAGTGAAACAGAATAATTATTTGAAACAGGATTGTACATTACTCTAGTTATTAGCTGCTGTAATTAACAAATCTGAATTCATTTTAAAATAAAGCTGCAATGATAAAATACTAAAGTTCTCATACACAAAAGTGCATGCCTCAGTATTGTCAGCTTGCAGAACTAACTTTTCTCAGTTTCACTTAGATTACAGTGTATCCTAAAACTAACAGGGTGATTGGCTTTTTTCTTAAGGTGCAATTTGTTGAAGACTTACATTTTGCCACAACACATTAATGAATCTGTTCCCTAAGGCTCAGACATTACTTCAAGCTGGTACTAATCTTTCCATCTCCAGTTTCCTTCCTCACCGCTCAGGTCCTTTGCTGTATTGCTGTGTTTCAGTGGAGGACAGTGCTCCGCTGGACGGAGTCAAAGAATATGAAGTGGTGAGACCCCTCAGACTTCACACACAACACAAGAGAGACACAGAGGTAGGCTCAGCCAGTCTTAACTACAAAAACAGTAAATATGTACTGTATTACATGTTCCAATGCTAATGTGGATTCTGTTTATTAAAGCAGCAAATCATTGCTTGAAGTTTGAAAACTTTATTCAACGTGCAGGTCTTAGAAATTCCATTGGATATGCAGAGGTCTCATTACCAAAAAAGGAATCGAAAATCTTCAGTTGAGCTAAACCATTTACTCTTGCTTATTGCTCAGTTTTTTTACAAAGAAAAAACATTAAATGTTGGGGATCTCCTGAGTCACTCAGTATTTGCACACATTCAGGTTGAGTTCTATAATCACAGGTTCAAGCCTGGGCATGTTACATGATTGTGTCCAGGATTTCCTAAGCAGTGGCACACTATTGGCTGAGCCCTGCCTACAGTACTCTGGGAATAGTCAGCCGGGGCTGTGTGGGTTCTCAGCAAAACAAAAGCGCCCCCTGTGGCCTCCCAGGCACTTGCAAGCATGTTGTACCTCCAATGGGCTCTGAATATTCCCATACTGGGCTGTGGAGCCTGTGATGTGTACACGAGTGAATCAAACGTGCGCAGTTCAAAGGAGTCCCTCCTGTGTGAGGTAGAAAGGTTCATAGCTGCAAGCTAAGGTGTGAAAAAGACAACTAGTTATTCCAAATCAGGTAAGTATATAAAAAAATAAATACATTTCAAAATCCAAGCTTTATTGTGTAACTGTTGCAATATAAATTAACACTGAGTACTTTGATGTTAATGCTGATAGAAGTATTATTACATGACTCACTATTTTCAGATTTTTTTTATTCCACTTGGGCTCTGAGTTACATAGTAGGTTTAATTAAAGAATTACATAACTGCGATAACTTCTAAGCAGAATTTTAGAATGTTTACAGGTAGCTGTAATTTAACTTTTAATGACATTAATATTTTGGGTAGTGAGCTGTAAAAGTCTAAGAGAAATTTTGCATATGTATAAGAAAGACAATATTCTTTTTTTTTTTCATTTTTACATACATTCGCAGGCTTGAACAAACAGCAGAAGACACTAGACTGTCCAGGAACTGAGTTTGAGGTCCCTGTCGTATACTATTACTGTAACACTTTCCTTTAGCTTCCTTGAAAGCTGTATCTATAATTAACAATTTTCAGCACTTATTTTTATTATATTCTCAAGACCGTCACAGACTATATCCTCTTTTGTTACAGCAGATGTTTACTGACATGTGCTTAAAAAAAAAATCACTTCTAAAATCTCATTTTTAAAAGAATGGCCTCTCATTTCATTTCTTCAGACAAGGCAACTGATGGCAACGATTCTGTTGTAGAAAAATCATGTTTGTTAAAACAATTACAATTTTTTCCCCTAAATAAACACTTTTTGGACTACAGAGACATAAGCTGACATAAAGGTTTTTTTTAACTTAAAACCAAACAATTTGTGTAATTTCATGAATAACACTTATAGTATATACAAACATAGGCATGTCTTGTATTAGGATCATGTTATGTATTATATAATGACCTTTGCAAACTGTCATGCTTCTAACCCTGGTATATTTTGTGCATATATAAAACATTCCTATTACACCGATTTTCACTTGTTCTCCAGATGTCACGGCCAGATGTTGTGAAATACAGGATGCAAGTGGAAGGAAGGGATATTGTGATGCATCTTGAAAAGAACGAGTGAGTCAGAAGCTCATTACATCACAGCTCGAGCGGCTGACAGAGTGTCAAAGGACTATGAAACACCAGCCACATTATTTTGTAAACCCTAACTACTAATGATCATGGAGGACAGTAGTGTTCATCAGGAACAGAAGGTTTTCCTTTTTTCCTTCCATCTTAGCTCTCCATTATCTAATTTAATTAATAAGATGTTTAAACCAGTTAAACAATAATACCAGTTACCTCTTTTCCCAAGTCTAACAAAAGTGGTGATTTAAAACCCCCAAGACTTCATCCCCTGATGACTGGAGCTAGGGCCCTCTTGATCTAGTTTCCCATGAACATTAAATGTCTTCCTTGAGTCATACCTCTACAATGTAGCGAAACATAAGACAATCTGCTGTCTTTCATAATGATGTATAAGCAGTGTTCACTGCTCACAGTGTAGTGTATATTGTCATAACCATTGTGCATCTTTTGAAATAACCGCAGGTGTGGACGGGTGTTGTGAAGCTTCTTTCTGATTAATGCTTTCCCAAAACTCCTAGGGGCCTGTTAACCAAGGACTACTCTGAGACGCATTACACTGATGATGGAGAGATAATTACCACAGCCCCACAAGATATGGTATGTCAATAAAAAAATAGTAGTACATTGCAGGACAGAAATTTTTTAAATAAAAAAGATTGTTTTTGATCCTTTATAAGAAAGGACCTCCTAAGCTTCCATTGTAATCACAGGGCTAAAAGGAATGGGCTGCACTCTATAGTATACTGTACATGGGTGGTCTTCATTGATCATGTCACTTATTTCTGCCTTTTCAATGTGGTAAGGTGGCCAAGAAGCCACTGGTAAATCTTCCCAAAGGAGCTGGAGGCTTCCTTAACAGCATGACATTGTGTCTTTCCATATAAGAATTGAACCTGACCTGAGAAGGCTCACATGGAACTGTGTCACAGTTGTTTAATCAATGAGGAGGTGTATGTATGAGATAGTAGAGTTTTCCTCAAGATTCTGAGGAGGTCCCTTGCAATTAAGGGCTCCTGAGTTAGCATAACCATTACAGTTGTAGAAACAAGCCTCTATGATTAGGGGTGTCTGCCAAAGAGTGACAGCTAACATGATATCTGAGTATCAGCAAGATGAGAGAAAAACTTCAAAACAGAGAGAAGAGATAGCAATGATAATGAGTCACAAAGCCCCCTGAGTGAAATCAGGAAACCCTCCAAAAGTAGAAAGGGGAGATTGTGACTCTGTGATAAAGAACTGTGGTAGTGGAAAAAAACCTCACTTCAAAGGTGGGGTTGCATTGAGCTCACGACTCTGGATGCATCAGGGAGTTTGGAAAACGGATTGAAAAGATATGGGATCTCAAGAGCTAGACAGAGGAATGAATGGCCTGTGTCCTTTGCCAGTCCAGGCAAGTATGGTCAGAGAAAGAGTGAAGTCAATTCGTAAGAGAGAAGCATGTTCTTTTTTCTGGAATTTTAATATGAAACAGGTCCTGAAAGGGATGTATTCTTAGATCTGCTGTTGAGTTGACAGTACTATGATGATGATAGTAGGAGTTATGAGTTGAGGTGGATAAAGAAACAAAATGTCTGCTCAGGGAACAAGAGATCTTTTGCAAGAGAGAAGCTAAGCAAGTGAGACATCAGAAAATAAAGAGTAAGAAATATGGCAGATTTGTATTTCAGAGGCAAAGTTTTCTAATATCTAAAAAAGATTAAGACCCTGGTTGAGACGGAGATCTCTCCAGAACCACTGAGCAAATCTAACTGCAGACCTCTTTAAATAATGAATGAATATTTGGCAGAAGACTTATCGTGAGTCACATAAACAGGCCTAAATCACACGTTATGCACTGCAGTTAATCCATCTACAAGGAAATCAGCATTGGATTGTTACTTCTTGTATTCAGTGCCATGGTGTCCAAATTTATTAATGTATTAATGAATTAATGTATAGTGGGAATCATTGGAAAATTAATTTAACACAATTTCAGGTGTATTATTGGAAGAACAAGAAGAAATACCAGTTCAGGTTAAAATAAATAGCACATTGGATCGTAAGTACTGAGTTAGTATAAAGATCCAATGTATGACTTTCTGTTATATCTTTTATACCTCTTCACAAGAATGCATGTCCAGATAAATTAATAATGACAGTGAAAATACATTTCACATTAAACATATGCTGCACTGCAAGTTTACTCATTAATAATCTTGTTTTTATTTTGTCTTTGCTTGCACCTCAACAGGATCACTGCTACTACCATGGACACATACAGAATGACAGTAGCTCTGTGATTAGCATCAGTACCTGTGATGGGCTAAGGTATGAGCAATTGTCTGAAATAAACATTTGACACAGAATGACCTTGTTGAATATAAGCCATGTAATGTGAAGGGCTGTAGTCAAGGAACAGAGTGAGCAGTCAAGCTTTCAGGGATCTCTTGAAAGGGAATGAGTTCTGTTATTCATCTGGGTTTTGTTTAACCAAAACAGCACCACATATAACAAGACCAGTAAATATATAGGCTTATATACCTATACACACAGAACTGTTCCACATCAACAAATAAATGCAAAATCAATGATCAATGATCAATGTTCAGATCAATGTTATCTAAAGATCAGTGTTAGAAGTTGATTCAAGACCTACGTCCAACCTTCTTTTTTAAAGAAATGGTTGGGTTAGATTCTTAGATAAACTACTAAAACCCAAATGATCTAAATTAGATGAATGGCCTTCTGTTATTTGCCACTTTTCTTTGTAAGCTCCTTATACTGTACATGGATATAAATAGCAAGATTTAAGAGATAAAAGTTATTTTTAAAAAGTTTAAGCACTTGATCAGTGGAATGAAGAGCTGCATTACTTGATTGATTGAAATGAAGCTACAGTGCATTCTGTGGTCCATATAGATGAAGGTTCGAGAATCTTGCTTGAGAAGAAATGGTTTTTAAATCTTCTGAATAACAGGGCTCCTTGGAAACACCCTCTCAAGGAGAACTACACATTTTGTTCTTCTTCTTAACGCACCTAAGCTCTCTTTTGCATAATTTACCCAACTTTCTGCTGCAATAGTCAAGTGAACATTATGTTTATCTTTGGTTGAGTTATCATAGATAGAGCTCTGCAATGCCAGAATGAAGATCAAGGCCTTGTATCCATAGTAACACACTTTTCACCTGTGACTCCATTCAGAGGTTATTTCCAGACTGCAGGCCAGCGTTATCTGATAGAGCCCCTGTCTGAGGAAGACACCGGTGACCATGCTGTCCTGAAGTATGAGAGTCTGAACGAGACACCAGCAGTCTGTGGAGTGACCAACACCAGCTGGGATGATGGCCTCCCTTCCATCAGTAAAGTGCACTCCAGAGGTTCGGTAAGAGCTCCTGACACAGACGCATGGGCTACTTAAAATCAGATGATTAGATCAATGTGATCTAAAGATCAATGTTAGACTACGATCAATGTTAACTAAAGCAGGAAGCTAGTTTTTCTCTGTTTTAAATAAGCCATTCATGAGGCCAGTATTCATGTAGCAGTACTAGCAATTAATGAAGTTTTGTAATCGAGTTCTTGGTCAGATCCTCTGTGTGCTTCAATTCATTGTAAACTTTTTGTTCCAATATCACCTTTTGTTTTCAGGGGCCTACTCTCATGCAACAACAGAAATACATTGAACTTTTCTTGGTTGCTGACAACAGAGAGGTAAGAGAAGCAACTTTTCCATTGTCAATAGTGCATTCAGTACATTCAGCTATCAAAAAGTGGTAACACTTTATTATGAGAGTTGCTCTAGAGGTAAGACGCTACAACCACCCATTGTGATCTTTGCTCATACTAGCTCAACAGCGATCCCTGTTGTGTTGTTGCTGCTCTGTGTTCTCTCTGCCCAATTCATTCTGGGCTCTCAATGTTAATAAGACAGCCCACGATGCCCAGCTCAGATCATTACATTCATGTTGTCTCCTGTCTTTTGCTCTTGTGAGCTGCGAGTTTACTTAAAATGGAAAATTATGTTATTGAGAAGGCAGAAAAGAAATTTAAAAACAGAATTTGTTTTTGAGTGTACCGTTGGATTACTTAATACAACTGTTGTAGATTTTAAGACCATGTGGTTACTTTCTATACAGAAAGGAAAAAGTTAATTACAGCAACAATCTCAGTTTTACTTCATTCTGCAGGCATAAGAGCAAATAATTCTTTTTTTTCTTACTCCGAACAGAACATGCTCCCAATTTTCCTTTATGTAATCATTATTATTTAAAACCCTGCAAATCTAAAAGAACTACTGGCTATAGAAAAATGACCTACCTAACTGGAAAGATTATTATTTCAATGTGAAGAAAGCATTAACATAACCATATTCTTTACGATGTAATTAGAAAACCTTTGTTGTTAGAGTTTAAACGTACTGAATCCAATTAATATATAATATTTTACTGTTTTCAGTTCAACAAAATGGAGCGTAACATGAATAAACTGAGGAAGAGGGTGTTTGAGATAATCAACTTCGCCAACATGGTGAGTTTTGTCTTCATTGCTGTGCACTAGAGAAGGCTGGTCTGGTGTCCCCCTGTTTTTCAATTAAATAATAATTTGCACTAATATTACGTTATCTTGGGAGAAATTCAAATTAGAACAACCAGACTACTTGGGGCTCTTGAAGGTGCGGGAAACACAGACTGATCCTCTTTAGTCTTGAACAAAGTGAGAGGATTCAGCCCCCATATTCTGCTCTAGATTGATTCGAATATTGAAGGAGGATGCAAAGGTGCAAGTGTAAGCTAAGTGCGGGAGCATTTGGATTAAATACAGAAGCTGTTTCTTTATCTAAAGGGTAAGAGGTGTGTGAAACTAAGCCAAGAAGTAGAACCTGTTTGCATCATCCAGGATATAGCTGAATGGGGTTCTCAGGATTACTTTTGAGTGACATTGGCCAAATGTCCTTCTGATTTTATGTTTGTGAAAGTGTTAGTTAATACATGTTGACCCATCAATCCCAGTACTTATATTTTCTGCATACCCTGGTGGATCTGTTCTGATACACCTAGGTAGCTAAGTAGAAACACTGTTTAGTTATTATCTCTTCTAAATATCTAGTTTAACCCTGAGTATTTTTGGTTTTCCATTTCCTCCCTGATATGAACTCAAACTGATCCCCGGGTATGTAAATTATCTGTTTTGGTAATGCTAAAAATGAAAAATGTATTTGAAGACTTTCAAAGCTGTTATCCTTCCTTACTAATCGGTTTTAAAGATGATCTACAGTTGTGTGTTGTGTATGTCAATTAAAATAGTTTGCCAGCTGAGAGGAGAGAAAGGGTGTTTAAAAACATAGAAGTACCACCGAGAACTAGATCTGAAAGACCTGTTATTTTATCTGTGGTTCCTCAATTTGTCTGATTTTGTTTAGTTAGCTCAGCTTGAGCAGTTGCACAACAATGCTAAGATTTCTGCATGCCAAATGTGTTTTGCAGTTGCAGTTTGCAGGATTACACTATTAACACAATCTCAGCCATGTGTTTTTTTTTTGGTTCTAGAATATGTTGGTTTATTTTTATTACATTATCACAGCAATGCACCAAACTGTTGTTATTAATCTCATTGAATTATTATGTCTGTAAAATTAGATTGATCAAAGCTGGGAAGAGGTAAACATCAGCTAAATTAATTTAGCCGCAGACAAGGAAAAAGAGAAACTCTTGCATGTTTGCTTTACTTTGGATAATATGAGAGTCAGATACTATACGACCTTTCAAATAGAGAACATGGTCATAGCCTCTTGTATTTTTCACTGAATTTTTGGTTTCTTGTCAATTTTAGATAACATATCATTCAGTACTTAATTATAAATGTTATCTTCACAATACACCACATTCCGTACGCCTCACCCTAAACATAATGGCAAAGCTGTGTAATCCTGTGATCAGTCACATTGATTCACCAATTGAATTAATGCTGGGTGATCACAGGTTTCTACAGCTGTGATATGCTGCACATGGAGGGAGACTGTCTGAGCTCACATCTTAAGAAACAAATGCACTCAGATACTTCAGTGTCTGTGAGAACTCTAAGGTCAGGATAATGGATGAGAAAACCTTTCTTGTTGTTATGCTCATTGCTGTATTTTACACTTCTCTCCCACTGTCCATAGGCATATCGGCCACAGAATACCTTCATTGCTCTGACTGGGCTGGAGGTGTGGACTGACCAGGACAAGATTAGTGTGACCGAACCAGCAGGACAAACTCTGGACCAGTTCACCAGCTGGAGGAACTCTCAACTGGTAAAGAGCAAGAAGCACGACAACGCCCAGCTTCTAACGTACGTCCTGAGAGGATTCAACTAACCACTGTCTATAACTACAAGGTGTATCATTGACTAAAATTGCATTCATACATTTCCTTGGTAAAAAACAAATTAACGCAGTTGTGACATTAATAATGTCAATACTGTTCACTTCTTTAGAATCGTCAATACAACACAAACACAATACCCTGTCTTCACCACTTAGATCACCACTTAGGGGATACAAGTAGAAACTATTTAGAAGTGCATTTAATAAAAAGAACAAGAGTCATGTCTTTACACAAAAGGTTGTGGGAGTCAGGAACAGGCTACCAAGCTATGTTGTTGATCTGGTTTCTTTAAAAAAAAAGCTTAATGAGATCCTCAGATCACTTAGCTATTAGCAACCAAATGGAACAGATTGGAAAGATCATGTTTATAATAATTATGGAATTATGGAACAGTCTTTACTTTGATTTTATGAAAAAAAGAAAGCAAGATATTAGTCAGTTTAAATTAAAACATAACTAACAGTTTTTAAACAATAAAAATATTACCTCATAATACTCTCTCATTTTTAATGAGCGTCTTCTGAGTCTTTTCACTCATTACATGAGTTATTTAAATATTTAAAAATAATTTAAAAAATAGAAAATAGATTAGTATATAAATATACCATCAAACACAAATCAAAATTATTTCTAAAATTAAATAAAACTCCCAAAGACACAACAAGCAAAAATTAAACCCTCAGGAGCTGACTTGTGATTCAAATTGTATTTTATAACTTGTTTTTCAGTGCAATAGACTTTGAAGGTTCTACAGTGGGATTAGCTTTTGTAGCGACCCTGTGCTCTAGCCATTCAACTGGAGTTATCCAGGTAGTGTTCTCTCTTTATCTGTTGAATATTGTATCCTAAATATCAAGAGGTTAAACATGTAGATGAGGTTGGATTGGAGAGCTGGAATTGAAAGGAAAGAAGGTTAATTCCATGCTGATATGTGAAAAGATTATATGCATTTTTTCTTGTTTTCTTTACACTTTTCATTGCTTATGATCCGGAATGTATATGTGTATAGAACTGTTTAGTTCGCAAAAAAAAGAGAAAGTTGTCATGTTGTGAAAAGTTTGTGTGTTTTCTTTTTTTTGTATGTGAGAGAGGTTAAAGAGAAAAAAGTTTTGGTTTACGATCATATAGATAGAATTTAGTTCAAAGTCTGTAGTGCACAAAGAAGAAAGTTCTGTGAAATAATCCAGTTATATACTGTAAACACATCTACACCAGTAGATGTTCTAATAAAGATAATTATTCATTTTTATTGGAACTATTTTTCATTTTTTTATTATGTGGCTGAATCAATGTACATATACACAGAGCATGGTTATTCTGAAGAACAGGGTACACCAAGGGGCTACATTAAAACACACCAACAGTCCAAACAGACCTGCTGGCAGTTATAACTTAGAGAAGTTATTTTATACTGCGGTGATGTATTTGAGACCATTTTCTTTGCATGCATCTGAAAAATCTTAAGCAATTTGGAACATTTTGCTTCTGAAACACACTGATTAGTCAATTCTTATTACGTCTTTGGAAAAAAAGTATGATAAACGATTGGCTTGGTTTCCTCATTATTTATACAGCACATCCAATTTCATCCAATACTTCAAGCCCAGTTTTGCAAATATGACGTGTTAGCCAATATTTGTAAACTCTCTTTCCTAATGTCTCTTGGTCCATGTCCTGCGGAGTATTACACTTTTACTGCTGCACAACCCAGAGGTACAGGGGGAGGGCAGAGGCGATGTGTAACAGCCCCAGTTCTCTCCGTCTCAAAAGTAAATCTTGAGTGAATTTTGTGGAGATTCATTAGCAGATTCACAAATGATTAAAAACTGGGTTATACAACATGGAGCATGAGTAAAATGAGTTATTTTAAAAAAATAGACAGCTATTTAGAGTTTTTTTGGGGGGACAGGGTGGACTTTTCAAGTCTGGTGGTAAGACCAGCTATTTAAAATCTTCTTCTTGATTTTAGGACCACTCTCCAAATGCCATTGCTGTTGGGGCAACCATAACGCATGAGATGGGGCATAACCTGGGCATGAACCACGACACCAGTTCCTGTGTCTGCAAGGACTCCTCCTGCATCATGGCAGCTGCCCTTAGGTACAGAACAGCACAAGGGGACAGAAAAGGCAGAAAGACACAGCACATCATTACAGCTATCTGAAATCAAAGAGGAATTAAATACAGAGTAAAATGAGCTTTACCTTCGGACTAGAAGTTTCAAATCCCAGTACTTTCACAGTGTGTCAGGTAGCAGTGTCTTGCTTTGGTTGTCTCTATTTGTAAAGACATCATGGCTTTATTTGAAATTAATGGTTAACTGGAACTTGACATGCTTGCTAAATAATAATAAATAATGTGTTTTAGCTAATCTACCTCTGTGCTGAATGTGTGTTCACCTATGTCATTGTGTAGTTGAGCTACAGCTGCGTGCCATCTGGCACACATATAAAGGCATTTTGGCCCAATTAATTAGTTGATTGTTCATACACAAAAATTGTATTTTTATAGCTTTTTCACTACATATTCACTTAAATGAACAAATCTATTGTTGTAAAACTCTATTAACAAGAGTTGTCAATGACTATAACTAAAGGAAATCAGGGTAAAGGCAAACTTACTATCCTTTTACACAAGACCTAAATAAGCTAAATAAGCACTGGTTATTTCCAATTCTGACTGCTGTTGAATGAGTATGTCGAATGTAGTAATTTCTCAGAGAACTACAGTATAGTATAGTATATGCAAACACCTCTGCTTAGTTTGCCTTTTGTAATTGCTGCCTAAACAGCCCGAGTAAGAAGGGTAGTGGCCCCTTTGCAGGTTCCAACAGAGAACTCTAAAGAAAATGTAATACAAATCTGCAAACGAAGTCCAGAGATAGGCTGAATTCAAGAACCGGGAAGGAGATCCAAGAAGAAATAAAACACGAGAAGCAGGGGAAAGGAAACAAGAAGTAACCAGGAGAAAATTTTAAAAAAATAAGAACTGAAACAGAACAAGATTAGGAAGAAAAGAAAGAAGCGGGGTATTAAGTATAGGAAAAGCCAGGTAAGGTCCAGAACACTAATCAGAGGTAAGCATCAAGACTTAGCATTAAGGGAATGAGAACACAATTTATATGGAGCTGAGGAGTGGAAGAATGGAGTCCTAGATAAAGAAGTCAGACCGTGATTGGCTACAGCTGTCTGCGTTGTCTGCACTTTTGCTGTGCAGATGGGCCAGCAACCAGTGCTTGCGGCGCCCTCTGGTGACAAGAAGATGGAACTGTAACATCTTTCACTCGTCATTCTAGCCTTGATACCAGAAACATGCTAGCTGTACCGATGGGTCCAGCGGTTAATGGTTGCACATGTATTTCTTCAACAGTCATTCCATTCCGAAACACTTCAGCAGCTGCAGTGACACGAGCTACGAGAAGTTCCTGAACAACCGAAATGCAGAATGTCTTTTAGACAAACCGGACCAGCAGGCTCTCATTTCTGATCCAGTGTGTGGCAACGGCTTTGTGGAGAAGGGCGAGCAGTGTGACTGTGGCCCAGTGGAGGTAATAAAAATAATAATTCCTTACACTTATAGAGTGCCTATCTGGACACTCCACTCAAAGCGCTTTCCAGGTAATGGGGACTCACCTCCACCACCACCAAAGTGTAGCATCCACCTGGATGATGTGACGGCAGCCATAGTGCACCAGTACACTCACCACACATCATGGGGATAGCCATCACAAATGATGAAACCAGTTCAGCGTTTGGGATTATTAGGAGGCCATGATTGGTAAGGGCCAATGGAAAATTTTAGCCACGACTCAAGGGTAACACTCCCACTCTTTTTGAGGAACGTCCTGGGATTTTTAATGACCACAGAGAGTCACAACCTTGACTTAACAGCTCATCCAAAGGACAGCACTTTTTTACAGTATTAAATGTGGCATTTGGACCACATGCTGAGTGCCCCCTCCTGGCCCCTCCTAATACCTCTTCCAGCAGCAACCTTAGTTTTTCCTAGGAAGTCTCCCATCCAGATTCAGACCAGGCTCACACTTGCTGAGCTTCAGGGAGTTACAAATTGTGACTGGCAGCTGGCCTGCAGTGCTTTAGCTACAGTACTTTTTTTGGGTGATGGTCTGGTCATGATGCATGGAGGAGCAGACTTTGTCTTCTCTTATTAATACAGCAGTGGAGCAGTGGACCTTCCAACATCATGATTAGTAGGGAAGTTCTGAACTTAGAGGATTGGCTTTCTGTTATATGTATTGCCATCTACTAAGGGAATCAACACATTTTTATTGCTTGTTGTCAATTGCTTTCATGTATTGTTCATTAAAATGTGACAGTACTGTGCTGTTTTTTTTAAGTTCATTCACGGTATCTGTCTCTCTACAGGAGATGACAGAAATGTCATGCCAAGCGCCATGTGAACACTTAATAATAATGTTTCTTTATTAGCCCTATACAATTTC